GTTTTTTTTTTTTGACTGGGGCTGGGTTTGAACCCATCACCTCCAGCATGTGGGGCTGGTGCCCTACTCCTTTGAGCCACAGGCACTGCCCAATCTGTAAATGTCTTTCTATTTAATTCTGCTTTCACGTTTTTCTTTCTTTCTTGACTTTTTCAATTTTGTTTTACAATAAATATGTCTTACTTTCACTGTTGGGAAAAATGTAAACTGAAGTAAAAACAACATAGGGAACACAAATCTATCTTGAAAAAGCAACAACAATGATGTGTGTGTGCGCTGTGTAGCAGAACCTAATCTAATCTGTGCGCCTCTCAGCATTGGGAGGGAGAACTCTAGGGCTTTTTGTTTTTATTAAATCATAAATGTATACATTAATGCATTTATGGGGTACAATGTGCTGACACATAACCTTGCATTATGCACAATGCATGAGGTCCCACCAATTATCCTCCCTCCACATGGTCTCCCCCCTCCCCTCTCCACTAGGTTTTTTTTTTTTTTTCTGAGACAGAGCCTCAAGCTGTCACCCTGGGTAGAGTGCTATAGCATCACAGCTCACAACAACCTCCAACTCCTGGGCTCAAGCAATTCTCCTGCCTCCGCCTCCCAAGTAGCCGGGACTACAGGTGCCCAGCACAATGCCCGGCTATTTTTTGGTTACAGCTGTCATTGTTGTTTGGCGGGCCCAGGCTGGATTCGAACCCACCAGCTCAGGTGTATGTGGCTGGCGCCTTAGCTGCTTGAGCCATAGGCGCTGAGCCTCCACTAGGGTTTTAACTGGGGATACAAAGACACATGGAGAACAGTAGAGGGAATACTGCTGGGGACCATTGGCTGGGCAGGAAGCCTGAATTTGTATAACAATGTCCAGAAAAATATTTTTGAAAGCCCATTTCATTTGGGGGTAATTGTACTGTAAACTATATCATACACGCAAAAGAGAATATAACTTTATTTATGTAGTTTAAAAAAGCTTTTAGGCTCGGCGCCTATAGCTCAACCGGCTAGGGCGCCAGCCACGTACACCTAGGGTGGCGGGTTCAAATCCCCAGCCCGGACCCGCCAAACAACAATGATGGCTGCAACCAAAAAATAGCCGGGCGTTGTGGCAGGCGCCTGTGGTCCCAGCTACTTGGGAGGCGGAGGCAGGAGACTCGCTTGAGCCCAGGAGTTGGAGGTTGCTGTGAGCTGTAATGCCATGGCATTCTACCCAGGGGGACAGCTTGAGGCTCTGTCTCAAAAAAAAAAAAAATAAAAATAAAAGAGCTTTTAAATGAACAACCATGGGACCCCGATCAAGAAATATTAATGTTTCCAGAACCCAAGGAGCTTCCTGTATATTCTTCCCCTATTTCTCTCTCTCCCTAATTTTATCCTTTTCCTCTCCAGTCTCCATTGTTGAATGTTATATTTTATTCCCTTGCTTTTCTTTATTATATTACAGCCCACAGACGATCCCTAAGTAGCATATTATTTGCTTTGGCCTGTTTTTGAACTTCCTATAAATGGAGTCACACTAGATGTATTCTTCTGTGCTTTTATATATAGATTTCAACATTATGCACATAGAGATCATTCAAAATGATGCATGTAATACTGCAAGTGAGTGTAGTCTCTATCCTTAGTAGGATTGTATTACACAATCCTATTTCCACTCTTCTGTTGTTTTAAACAACAGTGTTTTGAAAATTCCTGTTCACATCTCCAAGATACATGTATATGCCTTCTTCTGTTTCAGTTTCAATTTTACTGAACACTACTAGGTTGGTTCATTTACTCTTATTTCAGAGCATTTAAAAACAGGTTAAGTCGGCCAGGTGTGATGACTCACACTTGTAATCCTAGCACTCTGGGAGGCCAAGGTAGAAGGGTTGCTTGAGGTCAGGAGTTCCACACCAACTTGAGCAACTTAGCGAGACCCCATGTCTACATAAGAAATAGAGACATTAGTTAAGCACCTGTAGTTCCAGCTACTCAGGGGGCTGAGGTAGGAGGACCACCTGATCCCAGGAGTTTGAGGTTGCTGTGAGCTGTGATGCTGCTACTGCACTCTAGCCTGGAAGACAGAACACGACTTTGTCTCCAAATAAAGAAATATTTAAAAAATAGGTTAAGAATTTCCCCAAAGACACAAAACTGGCAAACAGTGGGGGAGGAATGTAAACCTGGGTTTTTCTCCTTCCACAGCCCGAGCTATTTACTCTTGTACTATGCCATCTTCCTTTTGATTATTGCCTTATAGCCGAGCTGCATGAAATTATTGGATGCTGAGGCCAACAAGGCATAAAAATCCCCCTTTGAACTAATTTCATGCTTATCAAGCAACCTTCTGAAATCTGGCTTCACCTGCCCTAAACCGACAGGAAGAGGCTGAGTTACTTTGAAATGGGTGCCTCCCTTCCTTGGCAGTTAGCATTCCTCACTGAACAGTAACTGAGTACCGCTGTGGCTCAGATCCTTCAGTCCATTTTGGGTTTGAGGTAGTAAATGAGTTTCCTTCAGACCTGTCAATGTCGAGGTCCTACAAAGATTAATTTTAGATCCTAGAAGGCTAAGACTAGATTTGGGATATAGTCAAATTCACCAAGGACCTCCCATTCCAGTGGCCATTCTTGGCAGTTTGAACATGCGGCTTTTCCTGGCAATACCCCTGAACTCTCTTTGCCAGTGTTTACATTGTGTACCTAAGACTTACTACCTACTGGATCTCAGATCCTTTTTTTCCACTAAGGTACCTTTTTTATGTAGCGGTGCTCAATGCTTTGTGGAGTTACTATGGAGTGAGCTGAATATGGACCAAGCTGTGTCCCGGTGCTGTGGCCTTAGGCTCAGTCTTGTCGATGCCCTTCTAGCTCAAACTGCCCCTTAAGGGCTTCTGCTCACAGAAAGTATATTCCTCATATAATTCACATGAGGACTATGATTATGAAATATATACAGGATGTATATTTATCATTTTTTGGACAAGATGGAAACCATTTGAATCAAGGGAAGCTATCAGAGGGAGCTAAAGGATCTGCTCCAGAGCAACAATGATAAATTGCCAATGCAAGCAGATTCGTTCCTTCCCAAATTGAGCTTTAAAACGATCTGGAGACTGATCAAGTCTCAGTGAGAGGAGAAAGACAAAGAACCAGGAAAAACAATAAACATCAAGACACTGAAGAGATTCCTCTGAAAGCTTTCCACTTGCTTTCCAGCTCCAGAGCACAAGTATCACTGTAAATTTTTTTATGTTCTGCAGTTGACCCCAGAGACCTTGCCGCTCAAAGAACTTGGCAGAAATTACTAAAATCATAGCAGAAAAATAGCCTTTGATCATTTCTGGGGTGGCAGTGGGCTTAGCTCTTCAAACTGCCCTATTCACTTCATTGATGCATGAATCTGGCCTCAAGCTGTACGGGAATAAAGGAAGTGACCAACCTCAGAAAAGTGGCCTTAACCTGTTGATTTTCCCACCTCCCTATTCTTGTCCTGTGCTAATGGTTCTATCTTTCTGTTTTTCAGGAGAACCTTTCAGGTTAGGAATATACCAAGTGCTGAGAAGATGAGTCTCAAGATTACTTTCGAAACAAACTTCGCCGAGTATGTTCTAGATATGGGAAAAGTCATCCTTGGGACCCAGCAAGGGAGGGCAATGAACCCTCAGCTGTGGGAGAAACAAAGTGAAACCATTTTGCAAGCAATATGTGCTCTGCTGAATTCTGGTGGCGGTGTGATCAAGGCTGAGATTGAGAACGAGGACCATGATTATGAAACTCATGCACTAGGGTTCGAGATACCCCCAAGTTTCAGCAGCTGTTTAGATGTGATGCCGCTGCAGGGAAAACTCTTGATTTTTGTGAAATCATGGAACACAGAGACAGGTGTACGAGTTGCGACCTTGTGCTCCAATTTGTACTACAGAGAGAGAGCATCTACTAATGTCGTGGATCCCCAGGAAGCTCTGGCATTCCTCAAAGGGAAGGCTGAGGCTCCTATGAACATAAACATTTCTCACCCCTTAAGTCCACAGGGAGCTCGGGGTAGGGTACAGTATGAAGATAACATAAAGGCCTCGGCTGCCGCTTTATTTGATAAAGTACAGCTTCAGTATCTGGAAAAACTCAACTTTCCTCAGTCCACACACGTCGAATTTATAATGTTCTCAGCAGATGTGTCACAGTGTGTTAAAGACAGACTCCCCAAGTGCATTTCTGCCTTGGCTAATACCGAAGGAGGATATGTATTTTTTGGTGTGCATGATGAGACCCGTCAAGTTATTGGATGTGAAGCAGACAAAATAGGCATCTTGAGCACTACGGTTGATAGCTGTATGAAGAAGTTAAGCGTCCATCATTTCTGCACACAGAGGCCTGAGTTGCAAAGGACCATTAAATTCCTTGAAGTACGCGATAAGAAGGTCCTCCGTGGATATGTGTGTGCGATCAAGGTGGAGAGATTCTGCTGTGCTGTGTTTGCCAAAGAGCCTAGTTCCTGGGAAGTGAAAGACAACTGTGTGAAACAGCTGACCACAAAGAAATGGGTAGCTTCGATGATGGAAGCCGACCCAGGTCAGGCAGCAAGACCAACAGTGATTGTAACATTGGCTGGGGGCAGGCTGGGCAGAGAGGAAAGGGACTTATGGTATTCTTTGATTCTCTCTGAGTTGCAGATGTCATATTTCTTAATGCTTATAGATGCAGGAGGGGGTCACTGCCTGTCCTTCCCTCTACCATCTTGAATATTCTGCATTCAACAGATGCTTCATGCTGTAACCCCACTAGAGGCTAGTGCAGGAGGTCTCCTCGACTTCCTTATTTCTATTTTCACATCCTTTCTCATGTTCATATTCTAGTCTTTTCTTCTCCTCCTCAATTTTGAACTTGCATTTAATTATTTAGGAAATTCCTAAATTATTCAGTATACACTGTATACTTCCCCCCCCCCCCACATGCACAGACGTGTCCTCTTTAACCTACTGCCACTTTCTTCTGACTTCCCAATCGTGTATGGCTCCCTGAATTAAATATTCTCTGTTTCTCATTGCCCCACTCCAATTTGCTCCAATTTGCAAATCATCTCCTTCTTTAAAAAAAGATTTATTTCAGATTTATCTAAGGATGCAAATGTTTGGGTTATACTGTTTTCATTTCTAAGGTAAAGTTCAAGTTGTAGTTGAGCTCTTCACCCAAGAGCTGTGTTATATAGCCTAAAATTGTGCACATTAGAACTTACCAAGCACCCTTCCTCCTCAGTTTTCCCCTTTTCCTCTTCTTCCTCACTAGAAATACTTGTATTTTTCTTTTATATGAGTGTGTAGTGGTTTAATACAAGTTTCATATTCATATTGAGTACACTGTACTTGCTTTTGCATTCTTGTGATACTTTACTAAGAAGAATGTGTTTCAACTCCATGTGGGTGAACACCAAAGTTGTAAAGTCTCTATCCTTTTCTGAGACTGAGCAGTATTCCATGGTATATATATACCAGTTTATTAATCTGTTCATGAGTTGATGGGCGCTTGGGTTGCTTCCAAGACTTGGTGGTTATAAATTGAGCCGCAGTCAACATTCTAGTGCAAATGTCCTTCCCACTTCCATTTTTGAAGCCAAACACGACCAAACTATGGCTTTTCCTCTCTTTAACCATTTTTCTTTTTGGGAGCCAAGATGTATTGCTAACCATGACTGACAAGCCACAGAGTAGAGCTAGTGATACGCATCTACCTTGGAAAAGGAAAGCCTCAGATGAAATTAGACAAAAGAAAATCAATGGGAGGTTCTTCAAAAGTCCAGAGAAAACAAAGGTCCATTCCAGAATCTATATCCACTGACCTTCACATCTTCTAATCATGTTTCTTTAAAAACACACACACTATAAAAATAGTTTTGTTTCAACATAATTAAATTAAAACCTGTCGCTCTATGTTAGTCTCTCCCTCAACCCCCACCCAAAAAACCTCTCAGTAGGCTTTGCTGAGCTGATTGGGATGGAAACACAAGAGACCATGGGCTGTGGCTGAGACTAAGTGAAAGACTTTGTAGCACCACTCCGCTATAGGGTGGGGTATGACTTTTTCCATTTTGAACCTTTGGTTTTTATTTCCTAAGATCTTTTTAGGTTTCCTGAGATGGTCCTGGAGCTGAGCGTGTCATCCGCCACACCCCACAGCAGGGCCGTGTGCTCTCATAAGAATTTGGAACGTCTGAAAGAACGGCAGAAACGTTACTTTCCAGGTAATTTGTCATCGCTGATGGCTTTGGAACATCCTTACTGTTCATTTGTTTGGGAAAACAACGGACTCCTA